TCAAAAAAATGAACTAGCAATAGCGACAATAATATTAGCAGTTGAGTCCTCCAATTGTAAATTCTGCAAATTTTTTACAATACTGCTTTATATGCGTTATTCACGGGCAGTAATAGCAAAACAATGTTATCATCCATTTCAAATTCAGAAATTACAAAAAAATGACAATCAGAATACTCAAATCACAACAATCAGAGATACCCGAAAAACACTGCAAATACACCAGAAAATCTGAAAAAACAGAGTATCTCTTCACGCACGGGTATCAACAACCCTATCAGGACCTCACTATCAACCACTGGAGGACCTGCGCTACCGCATGCACCACCGCTGAAAAGCCACGCACCACCTCCTAAAACCACTAAATAGCCTCCTTTCGGCTTGAAATCACCATAGAACTTCAATGTCAGCCCTAATCCGGAATAGCGCTCGCAGAAACACCCCAAATCGCGTCGGAGAGTAGAGAATCGCTTGCTGTCACAAGATCTGTTCCACCCCACCTTTTCCCTCTTCGACCTTCTGGTTTTGTGCACAGAATTGGCCGACCTAGCTCCTCTGTTGCTTCTATCCTCGAACGGGAACCCAACACGCACGAGAATGCTCTCCTCTAACAATCACGCCGCATGTAACCTCAAACCGTCGCCCAAACCGCTTCCTCAGCTTCTCCCATGTACACCACCGTGCTAGCCACACTCTGAACTAGCCAAAGATCGGTGGTTGTCTTCCTCCAACACCGAGAATGAGTTGTTCAACCCTTCTTTTGGTCTGATGTGATTTAACCCCTAAAACCCTAACCCTAACCGTAACTCTAACCCTGACCATAGCTCTGATACCATATAAAGGGTTAGGGAAGAAAAATACTGAATAATTTTTCTATTATTATTAAAATGAAAGTAGGGATATATATACATGTAAAAGGATTTATATAGGTTAACTAACATATATTACCGTAATTATTTTCTTTCCAATTACGTTTACATATTTGGAAAGATAATCAAATTATTATACATAGAGAACATTCCATACTATTCTAAGAGAGCAACTGGCTAACTTAAATCATCCTTAGGATTATCACTAGTAAGATTTTTAGAAATTGAGTTACCTTCATTTAATGGATCCGGATTGGACTCTTAGTTTAATTCATGTAACGTCCAAGGTTCTTCTTGATACTGAGGTTTTTCTCTCATGGAGTAGATCCTTATTATTTGTCAGCAAGACTGATGAAGAATTGTGCCCATGAAGCGTGGACTTAGATTGAATAGGGTTGACACAAGTCTCAGGCTCAATGGAATTCGGAAATATTGTGGAAGTTAGAGTTTCGATGATATTTGATGTGGAACATGAGGGATTTGATTTGCCAAACTCTCAACATTGCAAGATTGGCATTCCTCATTGTATTCACTCTCTCTCTAAATGATATTATTGGGATAAAACAGTTAATTTCCAAAGAAAGCAACATCCATAGAATGGTAGTACCTCTTTGTTGTTAGTGGATAACACTTAAACCCTTTTTATTTGGTGAATATGCTATAAAAATTCATTTTATGTCCCAAAAATCTAGTTCTCCATAGTTACAAGAATGAATGTGGATGAATATGGAACACCCAAATATTTTAAGGAACTATAGACAAAAGCTTAGAGGAAAGATAATATTTCAAGAGAACATGGATGATGTTTGGCGTTTGCCACTTGAGGATACAAGATGACATTTGGTTTATTAGAGTTACAGCAATGATAATGGCATCTCCTCATCAATCTTTTTGGGACAATGCTGAAAACATCAAGGATCGGTCAACTCCAAGAAAGTGTATGTGTTTGTGTTCTGTAATACCATTTTGTTGTGGGTGTCAATTTTTATGAATAGTTTCTTGCCCTAACAGTCTCCTAAAACATACTTAAAATATTCTCTAGAGTCGTCTATTATAATGATTTGAATTTTGATTTGAAATTAAGATTATGTCATCATGTTGAAGTTTTTGATGACTCGACCCGCCTCAGATTTTTCTTTTAGGAGAAATACTCATGTCAATCGAGTATGATCATCAATAAAGAATATAAACCAACATAACCTTATAACATATCTCACCCAAGAGGGCCCCATACATCACTATGAAACATTACAAAGGAACGAGAAGCAAAATATGCTACAAATATGTTTTGAAACTGACATACTTCATATTGGAAGATATTTTGATTTAATTCCAAATAATAGTGGAAACAGTTTTTCAGGATACACATAGTTTGGATGACATAAACGAAAGTGTCACAACATGGCATCTTGGAAATAGAAACATGAAAAGATGAACTCCAAGAATTTAAACTACCAACTTGTAGAGCTGGTCCACTGGGAGTCTTATTGCTAATAAGTACGTGCAACCTCAAGCGCTCCTAGCAATTGTCCTCCCAGATCCATATCCTAAAATTCACACAAACTTTTGAAAACTTTAGTGGAATAGCTCACGACTCACTTTAACGAATACTTATATACGACTAGGGATTGTTTATCTTGAAAGCATCTTCCACCTATCCCATCTAAGTTTTCATTGAGACCTATTAAGGACTTGTATAATCACTTATATTCAACAAGTTTCTTATAGTATAAAGCACCATCCAAATGTTTCCACACATGTTCAAACATATCCAAAAAGGCCGCCGTCTATTGAATTTGTTGAAGTACTCGATGACGATAGGTTTTCCTTATTGATGATCATGAAGAAGACATTCAATGTTGAATAGTTCAAATGTGTTTTCAAGTGAGTATGCATCCTTTACAGCTTCCCATATTTCTAACATCATTGCGAATAAGGGAAAATTCTCTCCTATTTCATTTGTCATGGAGTTGAGGAGCCATGACATAACCTGGTTGTACCTATCTTCCATGGCGAAACGCCAGATTCTCCCTTTTCCAGCTAGACTACTTTGAGAGGTAATCATCTTTAGCTTTCCCATATATAAAGATCAAAACCGATCGAGATCTCTCACAGGTAGTTCTGACTGTTCAGTTTGTGACTAATGATGGAGATTGATGAGGTATATATGCCCCTCGGTTGGCTGACAGGACTTGAGATGACTTCCAATGATGAAGCTCGTCTCTCAATGTCCATGGAGGTTTTTGACTCCCATTCTTTTTTCTTTCTTCAGGGGCCATCCTAGTTTGCTCCAATACCATGAGGATTTTGACTGAAAAATAGGTTACAGTATTATGGTTGGATTGACTAGTTTATATACAGAAAAAAGCCTCTCCCAATAAAGAGAGAAAGTTGACAAATATTTACAAAAAAAAAAAGGACATCTACGCCTAAATCAGCTAATAAACCCCTTGACCAAAGGAAGAATCAAATCTCCCAAATATCCTGATTGGGAAGCAACAGAAGAGAAAACAAAAGATAACAAATAAGAGAAACCAAATCCTAGAACAATTCCACAGATACAATTGCAGACTATAAGCCACAGCTCATGCAGCAGTTGCTTGTTTTATAAGAAGATATTAATATGAAGTTTGCTAAAAAGCATTTCAGCAAACTTACATTATGGTATAGTACTGCTCCAGTGCCCTTGCATAAACCAATTAAATGCTAGTTTTAGGAACATGAGATCCGATACTTGGAGACTTTGGTAGAGTAGACAAGATCAACAATTCAAATTTTGAGGTAGACAAATATTATTTCACAAATGAACATGCTAAGGTTGATGAAACTAAAATATCACCATCGAACGGATAATTTCTCTTCAAAACATCAAAGGTGCATTATCAGCACCATTTACAACTTTCTAGTTATCTTTGATATTAGGATTCTTCCATCTCATTTGAAAATTTTACTTATTCTGCAGATAATGCAAAGACTTGAAACAATACACAACTGTATATCATTGAAGTACATGTAGTGAGATTTAAAACACATAGGATTTAAGGAGCTGGATGGATATTTTTCTTAGTTATTACAAAAAAAAAAAATTCCTTTGCTCGTTTTTATTCTCTTCTACATCAAAGTTTAATCATTGACCACTTGATTGATATTTAACTATTTTGTATATGAACAATATCCCCTTAATACTTATGTGCATAATAATACTTCACTTTTATTTCAAAAAAAAATCTCTTCTACTTCAAGAGGTAGTACATCAAAACAAACCAAAAACTTCATTTCAATAAACATGCATCATGAAGAGAGAGAGAGGGAGAGGGAGAGGGAGAGAGAGAGGGAGAGAACAAGACAACTGAAATTTAAGGATATTGATATACAAGCACTTTAATAATACCTATTCTTATTGGCCAAGAGAAACCAAAAACTAAATATAAGTCTACCTATTTTCTCGCAACAGCTTGATTCGGAGCTCCATTTCTGCTGCACTGAGTTGCTCATCATGAGATGTTATGGTAGGTTTCTCATACGTATCTTCACCTTTTGCAAGGACTTTGCCTGATCACAAGGAAGCAAGCATCATGAACTCAGAAGTTAGAACTCAAAACAGAATTTACTGTTGCGAAGATTGCTAGAAAAGTGAACAAAATTATGCAAAAGTAATATCAAAAAATTAGTTCCTAGGGAAAAGATCATTTTACAAACACCACAAAATCAAAGGCACGAATACATTTTACCTTGAGCACGAGAGCATAGTTATATGAGAATACACACAAAGCATGTGAGCAATGATATGTTCACACAAGTATACGCTGAAACCTAAGGATTTCTTCCTAGAAAACCATAGGATCCTTCATGCTGAATCCTCCAGAAAGAACAAGAGTAGAGAATTAGTCTTAAACATGAGATCAAAATATCACAACATCCACAGAGAAGGCTAAACATAGTTCCCATAGGATTTTAACTCTTTCGTCTAACCCTCTGAGATAATGACAGTAAGCATATATTATGCTTATAACTAGAGGATGCTTGAGATTGCTTATGTACTACTGAAAAGCAGCTGTAAGTGCCATTTCACGTCTGGTAACACAAAAAGCAAGGGTTTTCTAGGTTTTTACTAGGTTCTTAGATGTTCTTTAACAAGGTGCTTCTAACCTTTTAGGTTCTTTTTTCTTATCTGAATAGACACTATCTTATCCTCTCATAGTCCTCTAATCATACACTTTATCATTCTCTAACCTAAAATCACATTAACTCTGGTGCAGCTTCTCTGCTTCTCTTCCTCTTTGCAGGCACATTGCATCTTCCACTGTGCATTCATCCTGCTTCCATCTTAAGTAATGCCTTCATCTCTTTCACTCTCTTCTGATTTCCATCTTCGTTCTTTTCTCTTCATCTACTAACTTTTTTCTTTTTCCTCTCTCCGAGCAGATACAAGTGCAATTTTCTTTACCAGCTGATCTGCTTCACTTCTCACCATGTAAGCCTTTCTTCTCCTTCTCTGCCTCTGTTTTCTGTTTCCATTTTCCTTCTAGCCTTATTTTTCTTTCTCGCTTCCTGCCAATAGCTAACCATGTCATTTACTTCGTCCTATTTTGCCACTCATTCCTTCATCAAGTTCTTTCTCTGCTTTAGTCTGTCATCTAAGAACCACCCCTCACCCTCTGTCTCTACTTTCTGCCTTTTGAAATAAATAAAAAAATAACACAAATGTACAAATATCTGGCCAGTCAACCAAGAACAATATATATATATATATTATGTATTTTTTTTTTAAATAGATATATATATTATGTATATAAACTGCTCTTATAAATTGCATATAAATCCAACAACCCAATCCAGCGATGGTGTCGCCAGTAAGGATGGGTTATTGATGTTGTCATATATTGGGTATCCGAGTCTGATTTCTGCTTTCTAGTTGATGTAGGACAAAGTAAGATAATTAACAGCACTTGCAAATTTGGAAAAAAAATCTAGATATCACATCTAGGGCTCTATGGTATAACTCTAAGATCGATTGAATTGCACCATCAAGTATTAAGAAGTTCTTAAAATATAGTATTGAATAATTGAGTGATAATTTAGAGGTTAAAAATGTATTTACAGAGTATTAAATAAGTCTTTCCCGGAGAATAAAAAATACTAAAATAGTAAGATTAAAAACACTACTCCTTAATAAAATAGGAAACCAAAGCTAATAAAATTATGATAGTAATCCTGATAAATAGAATAATAATGCCAAAAGAATAGATACAAAGATATAACTAGAACATAAATACCCAGTAATGACTATATGCCTCTGAGCATCATCAGTAGCTTCTG